ACTTCTGAATTCTATGAACGAACCAGGTTAGCGGCGTGCTGTGTTACTGCAAAAGGGCACAATTTTGATGCAGTCTTGCAAGGGATTTTTGGAGAGGAGTGCTGTTCGGCTATAGGTGGAAGGAAGGGCATTTTGGACAGTTGGCCAGTTTTTTTCTACGAGTTCCTGTTGAATTACACGTCTCAGGTTGCTGGGACCTGTATAGCTTTACAGGCCAGGAGGCATCGACAATAACGATAGGGGCCAGCAAACCCCTACGAAACCGAACTGCGCCAATAAAAAGTCCCACTGTCCTTTGATTACGTCAATTTCCCCACTGCTCTGCGCTATCTCCTCTACTTAACGTTCCATGACCACAGTAACTACCCAAATTCCAATCTTATACGTACAGTAGGTGGTCATCCCGCTCCAGAAACTACTCCCCCTGGGAAAGAGCATTCTCTGACTCGCCGCAGGGTCTTCTATCTCTTTTGGCGCTCTAGAAGCCGCTGTTCTCTCTGTCTGCCTACAGGGTTTCGCAACAGGACCATGCAGGGGAGTCCGAATGGTCACGTACACTTCGCTTAATAATTGGGCCAATAGGTTCACTTGGAATCGCACATCAGCGCACCCCTTCTCTTTGCTATATTAGAAGCAAGGATCTCGCAAGGCGAAGAGGACAATGGCCTAATATTCTCTACTGACTACTAGCCGCATGTGACTGCGGATCCACGGTGGAAGCTTGGCCTCTGAAGAAGACGACCAAGTCGAAACGTTAGGCCGTAAATAAAGATTTCCACCTAAAAACCTCGAGTGGCATAGCAATTTAAACAGAATAAACGAAGAGGACAGTGGTCGAAGTGACTCCGCCCATACGATCAACCTGGAGAAAGCCATTTGAGTCAACAGTCAAGAGAAAATGAAGGAGTCAGTTTTCTCTAAGCATTGATTGTGGCCTTTCATCGTAGTCAGGAATATCATTGCTAAAAGCTCTCATAGTCAAGATTCGGGGAATGTTCGAGTATGCAGGCTACGCCCACACCATAGACCACGCCCCCAGGCTGTAAGTAAAATAGAAGTTGAAAAGTCATACTTTAGTAGTGTGCGAAAGCATGTAATCAAGAGACTGCCTTCTCTTGACTAGACTCTTACCTCTTAACTTTCGACCTGATAAAAATAAAATGAATGAAAAATATAAATAAAATGAATAGAAATATGAACTGACCAGATAAGTTGAAGAAAGCTTCAAGAGTTCCTCGGAAAAGGCGTGCATCAATTATTCACAAAATCTACAACGGCTTTTCTTCGACACCGGACCTAAATGCTCACCATCAGAAAAAATCAAAATGAACCTTTTTCCAAGTAACGTTGCAGATAAACATGAAGAAGCCATGGGCGCTGTCATTTTCCTATGGACGAGCTCTGCAAGCGTCATGCATGGCAAAATGGCGGGGCCAAGAAAGTAATGTGAAAGAGGCTCAGGTAGGTGTAGAATGACTTCCACCCAACAATCCCTCCTCCCCCCCCCCTCCCGAAGGAGAAAGGAACTCAAGAAGGGTCACGTTCTGAAGGTCCGCATTTCTTTGACATGCACAAAATAGCAATTATTCCCCTTGATTTCTCCTTGTCGGCGCAACGTGAATTTGCAACCGTCAACCGGCTATGTACCATCATTGACCCTAGAATTTTAAGTACTGGTGCAAATTCAAAACTCGTGTTTCAGGCCCTTTTGCTACAACGAGCGCGTGCAAACTCACTGGCAACCCTTGGCAAGTACGAAAGGGATGTGAACGCCCGTGAAGCTGCCTCGAGCTAGCTATTCTAGCGAAGCACGCCTACCGGGAACAAGCCCTTGTTAAAGATCTAGCAGTTTTCGGCCGATTACTTTGAAGACGTATATGTTCGGTGAAGAAATCAAAAGATCGTTCTACTGTGTGATCAATGAATTTCAGATTTCGTAGTAAAATACAGTAACGCTGCGGGTGGTGGGGCGTGACAGTGAGGGTGGGTTTGGTGCGTCGCCTGCCCCTTCTCTTCCAGTTGTTGGAGCGGGTAACCGACACCATTTCGGGGAAAACGACCAAAACAAACGATATGATACAGCCTTACCGCGTGCCTGAAAAAAAGAAAAGAAACGGGCCGGCGCCACGTCAAACCCATCCCTCCTTGCATGCCCCATCATTCGCAGCGAACAAGACTGTAGGCCACATTCACCTCAGCAAACGTTTCATAGACACGAGAGCACTTCGAGAAAGACAATGTAATTCTACTCGGCTGGGAACCGAAGAAAAACAAACAAATTGTAAACTGAATAATTTATTGCTAATTTCATTCAAGGCAGATGAGTACAAAGTGAGGTCTCGTTAAGGCCAAGCATGTTGATCGCATTGCTCCATAACAGTTGATTTTTATCGTCGTTGGAGAAACCATCGTAATCCTCGACGACCTGTTAAATAACAGAGCATATCGATTTTACAAGTTTTCATCGCCATGACATACTATGCACTCACCTCCAGGGCGGTCCTTGGTATGCGAGATGAATGGGTTCGCAGCCGTGCTACTTTTGTTCGGTCAGATGCGCATGAGAATGGGGCTGGGAGCAATGATACCCGACTTCTCCCTCCGCTCGCTCTATCCTCAAGCTGCAGCACTCGCACCAAAATGGCGCAGCGAACATGCAGTCAGTGGTAGAGAACAATCGCAAAATCGAGAGGGCACAAAAAAGTGGCCAAGGTTAGGCATTCGGTTGGCCGTGTGATAGCGCCATAGAAGTATAGAGACATCACCCGTGCATCACTACCCTTCAGTCCCGTCCCCGCGTTTTTTTTGCGTCCTTGTTGTGAACGTGGCGCACTGCTGTCCTATTCACCTCATACATGGCAAGGGACCAGGATCACGGAGGTGAGTGAACAGTTTGTCATGAAGGGTTTCAAGTGACACAGGTCGAGTCTACAATATACCTTTCCAACTTCTAGCTCTCCAAGTGGAAATGGATAATCAGTTCCGAGCACGATTTTATCCTGAAAACACCATATTCTAATCTTCACTAGTTTCATTAGCGATTGTTACGATGGCTGCTGTTCAACATTGTAGTCGGTCTCCGAAAAGTTAATTCTTTTGAGATTCGGCTCGACAAGAGGCTTGAGATTTTTGCCTACTGTTCCGCAAGTACTCCAGTCTCATATACGGTGCAACATGCGTGGCCTGTCAGTACGGGGTTGGGCGCGCCGCCTAGGATGCTTCCGCATTGCTGAAGTGGGAAAGCGACAACAATTGGTCGAAAGCAACTGCTAAGAACGATATGACACAGTCTTGTCGCTTGCCGAAAGAAAAACAAGAAAAAAACGAATAATATAGATGGTTCCCTGAGCTTCATTGTATTGAGACTTGTTCTTGTGTATGGGAGTGAGAAGCTCTTTTTTTCCAAATTTATGACTACGTTTCGGGCCTAAAGCCCTTCTTCAGGTCACTGAATTACACAAACAAGTAATAAGGTCACATGCACAATAATACATCAGCAACAGTCATCATAGAAACAGCAGCAATCTACAGCGAGTTGTCCGGGAAGGGGAGGTGGGGTTGCCTAGCCTTCTTATGCGGATATAGGCAAAAATAGGAAAGTGGTAGGGTTCTGGGTATATATACAGATGTAGGACCGAAGGGTGATCTAGGAAATGTCACGTTTGTCTTCCTAGTGCACGTCCTACACTGATATCAGACTCATTGCCACTCTCATCTCCTCCTTGCTGTTGATCGGTGGGTTTTGCTGCTTGATTTCTAACGCTTCTCTTATTCTTCTCTCAACGGGATCAACCACATTTCTGTGCAAAATGGAGACTCGAAGTTCGGGCGGTCTTTCCTGAGCATGCCGTAGTGTACGATGTCTCGAGAATGGAGCTCTGTGGACTGCGCAGAGATCTTATGTGCTCCTTCATTCTCTTGTGTAGTGGCCTTGATGTTTCTCCTATGTAAAATTCATGACACGAAAGGCACACCACCTTGTACACTACATATTTTTCTTGACACACCTTGTGTTCTCCGCAGATCTGGCAGTTTGCTCTTTCAGCTCCCTTTCTTCTTTCATCACCATCAGCTCCAACTCGATGTTGAGGATATTGAAGAAATGTGGTTGATGCCGCTGAGAGAAGAATAAGAGAAGCGTTAGAAATCAAGCAGCAAAACCCACCGATCAACAGCAAGGAGGAGATGAGAGTGGCAATGAGTCTGATATCAGTGTAGGACGTGCACTAGGAAGACAAACGTGACATTTCCTAGATCACCCTTCGCCCTACATCTGTATATACAGGGGGGGGGGCAAAAAAGTCACTTCGACCGAGTCACATATCAGCAAAGTTTTCGCAGCCCAGAGAGAAGACGTGGATACGAGTACCAGGGCGGAAGATACCCAAGATGTTCCTCTATAAGCAGGAGCTGGCTCTCGCCCATCACCTTCATGTACACCAAAATATGAAGTCATCTCCAGTCGCAGCCTGACTGGAGAAGACCTTTGGAATTCATGTCACCTCCAAACAGCTGC